CGTAGCTACGATGATGTATGTGCGCTTCAAAGTTACAATTTCTCTGTATCTTAGCCCCAACAGCAGGACGAGAAGCCTCTCCACGCTTATGGCCGTCATCGTCATCAAAGACACTCCACATAATGTAAAGGCTGTGATGGTGGCTGCGTCAAATGCGTATCGACAAAGACTCCATTGTTCCTGAACCACGGACATCCAAACAGTGGCGTAGAGAGGCTGACAAACAAGACCAACCAACAGATCAGTTGTTGCCAGACAACGATACAAGAGTTTCGACGGCGGATGAAGGAAAGACTCTTTGTGAAGGGCAACGATTATAAGAAAGTTCCCAAGAAATGCTGTGATGGAAAGGAGACTGTAGATTGTCAAGAAAAAAATTTTAAGTTCTCGTTGAAGCATACCAACTAGAGGTGGGGAGCAGTAAAGTTCTTGTAGTGTTTTTGTTTCCGACATTATTCTGTGTTCGTTTCCTTTTTGTTAGACTGAAATTATCTGTGAATGCAATGAGAAACAATTCGTCTAAACAGCAACAACAGCAACAAGATGAACAACTTATAAAACCTTAGTTTCATTAAGCTCCGCCTTTAGCAACTCTAAGCAATCTTTCAAGCTGTAAAATTACCGCGTGCTTTATATCGTACACCGATGAACGATTTAGTTGTTAAAACTTTGTCAAAGTTAAAGAGACATTAGATAGCATTTAAAATGTGTCGGGAAACTGTCAATTGTGGTTAAAAGGTTACTTTTTTCCCGGAACTTTTGAGGTGCCTAAAATGGCATAAAATAGCAATAAAAGACAAGCTAAATAGAGAGACCTCTGTCGTATCGTTTTTAAAATAGCGGCAAACAATCCCTCTTTATTTGATAGGGTGCTTTTCAAATTTCCATATCATCTGTGTGAAGTTAAAACTTTAGTCATTATCAACCTCGGCAAGGTGGAATTAAACAAAGAACTAAAGCTGACGGTTTTGCTTGTCTAAGAAAACATTTGGATTCGTTAAAATCTCCGAAAGCATCAAACCATTGAAATTGATATTTTAATCACAGAAGCTAGCTTGTTTTAAAATATTTCATTTAAATTTCTAATGTACGCAGTTTTGCAGCTAACAAATATATTCATTATTAAGCGAGCTGTATGTGGTTCATCTTGTTGCTACCATTATCTGGACTATTAAAACCTGTATTGCGACATCCTAATACTGAAGTAAAAAACACATCTATATTAA